ATTTCCATCACACTATTAACCAATTAGAGAATGCCAATGCATATCATTTGTTAGTTAACTGTAGTCAGATATGAATTTGGCTGCAGAATTATAAAAGTTGTAATGTTTGATATAAAATATTTATTTACTTTTCAAATTTGTTATTAGCAGAGCTACAGAAATCCAAGGTTACTACTAGAAAGTTAGGTAGGCTTGCTGAAAAGTCAGTGTGGTACTTTTAAAAGTGTAGTCTCCTCGGAAGTTCAAGAAGTCAATCAGATATTTTTGCAAAGAATATCTGAAAATGTTTTTCCTTCTTCAGAATAAAGCTTTTTAGAGAAGATACAATCCTTTACAAATTTTTATTGTGAGACCAAAATTAAATTCATAACTATCAAAGTGTCTTTGTCCAGTTAATGTTTCTGACAATTTGCCAACAGTCAATTCACCAAAATTAATTCACTAACCTTAAATATAATTCTGGTATAATTACTTTGTTGATGAATTAATTGTTGGTGAATTGAATATCAGTGTATTGAGTGTTGGTGTATTGAGTGTTAGTGAATTAATTGTTAGTAAATTGAGTGTCAGTAAAATGAACATAGTGAATTGATGTCAGTGAAATGCTGTGTCTATGAAATGAGGTTTTTTTTTACAATAAATAATGGCACAAATCAATGCCCTATCGAACATTAATTCTAACTAATCTACTTACTTTTTGTTACCTGTGTAGTTAGTAAATTCTTTATATATGATATTTTTTTTACAGTAAATAATGATACAAATCAATGACCTATCAAACATTAATTCAAACTAATCCACTTACTTTTTTGTCGCTTTTACAGCAAGTTCTTTACATACAACTTTTTTTTTTTTACAGTAAATAATGGTACAAATCAATGCCTATCAAACATTAATTCTAACTAATCCACTTCTACAGCAAGTAAGTTTTTTGCATATGACTGTTTTTTTTTTTACAGTAAATAATGATACAAATCAATGCTCTATCGAACATTAATTCTAACTAATCTATTTACTTTTTTTGTCACATATAGTCTGTAAGTTCTTTTATGTGTTTTTTTTTACAGTAAATAATAATACAAATCAATGCTCTATTGAACATTAATTCTAACTAATCCACATACTTTTTGTTACCTATATAGTTTGTAAGTTCTTTATATATGATATTTTTTTTACAGTAAATAATAATACAAATCAATGACCTATCAAATGTTAATTCTAACTAATTTACTTACTTTTTGTCATCTATATAGAAGGTAAGTTCTTTACATATGACTTTTTTTTTTATAGCAAATAATGATACAAATTAATGCTCTATCGAACGTTAATTCTAACTAATCTACTTACTTTTTTGTTACTTATATAGTTTGTAAGTTATTCATATACATTTTTTTTTTACAGTAAATAATGATACAAATCGAATGCTAATTCTACCAGTTCACTTACTTTTTTGTCACCTATATAGGACATAAGTTCTTTACATTTGACTTTTTTTTGGTCTGCCTTATTTCACTGTTACTCATTTCATTAATATAGCATTTCACTGACAATCAATTTGTTGACATAGCATTTCACTGATAATCATTTCACTATGTTCATTTCACCAATACAATTCACCAACAATCAATTTACTGACACTTACCTTGAGTCAAACCTGAAATAGCATTTGTTAATACTGTCTCACATGCCAACTATTGAATATTTCCCATTACAATGGGTTACGAGTTGTTCACTAGTTTTTTTTAAACTTATAGCAAAGATATCTCAATAACCACTAAACAAAATTCAATAATTTATTTTTACTTTGATTCTGCAAAAATACAGGATTAAAATAAAAAGATTTTACCGAATTTGGTCAAGTAGTTATTGAGAAACCTTCGCTAGAAGTTTATAAAATTTTAAAAAATTTGGATAATCGCTAAATTTTGATTTATCATATGAAATTTTTTCGTTAGGACTGTTATTATAACAAGTGAAACCTGGCCAGATCTACCCTAATGTCTGGGCTAACTAAATTTATAATTTGGCCAAATTGTCATTTGGGCTATATGACATACATATCATCGACCAAATTTTGTGAATGTTATACTATTGCACAATTTAGAAAAATTTAGTCATATCTGGGTTATATTCCACTGAGTTATATCCCAACCTGAGTTATATCCTCATATTTAAGCTAAATAAAGTTTTAATTTTTCTGTTTTTATATGTTTTGTATACCCTATAAAAAAGTTAATCCGTGTTTTATATTCTATGTTTTATCTCTAAATGTTGCATATTTATAGAATTTATACCTTCAAATGACAGAAATTTCAGTTTACCACATCAAGTTGTAGAATCACGAAGATTTTACAGAAATTAAAAAGATAAAAAGGAAATATTTAAATAAAAGTTATTAAGTGATAATGAGTTATAAATTACTTTAAGCACAAACATATTCCGTATTTGTTTTTTTTTTAAAAACTAGAGTAAGAAAACAAATTTTGAATAAGATGGGTGGTGCTTTGTGCCACCCATCACACTAGTATTTATAATTTCATATGATGTGATTCTATAAAGGCACTTTTATATAGTCACTTCTATACTATCATCAGGTAGGTATGTGCTAGAGTTGGTACTCAAAACGAAACCTACCCAAAACTAGTTTCGAAAAGCTCTAATCCGAAACTAGTTTTGGATTTTTTTAAAAAAAACGAAACCCCGAAACCCCGAAACTATAATCCGAAACCTCAAACTATAATCCGAAACTTAAAAAATATAATATATTGAAATTTATTTAGACAGTTCTACTTCCTGACATTCTTACTAATTTTCCCAACACATATACCTGTATACTATATATTATTATATACATATTATAACTGTTTTAATTTCAGGGACATGGAATATTTTCAAAATTCAATTTTTGAAATAATTTGAGATTTATTAGCTATAATAATTCCATTTTATTCTATTTTATTCTTAACTGAAGTATACTCGTTCTTTCATTGCAATGTTGACACATTCAACATTATTAAACTTTCGTTTGAATACTTGTTTAGTATATTTGGTATGTTTAATTTGTGCGAAGGTTTATGGGAAAGGAGTTTTATTAACAAATAATCTTGACAAGAAATATAAAAAAGGCATCAGATATAAATTAGATTTTATAATGAACATGACACATGAATGCTAATATTAAAAAAAGTTAGAGATATGATCAAGAATTCGTCAACTGGTTTAAATGTAAGATTCTAAAAAATCGATAAAATGTTGCGAAAGCTTTTCAATACATCCATATCTTTGAAAACCAGAAAACTGACTTATAGAAGATTTGCTAACACCTAAACGTTTGGCAATTTTTCGAATCGATAAGCATTCTAATTGTTTCAATCATAAAGTTTTGGAGTTTCGAGATTTCGGAAGGAATTTTAGGTTTCGGGGTTTCGGATAGGGTTTCGGGTTTCGGATGAGGTTTCGAGTTTCGGATGAGGTTTCGGAAACTATAATCCGAAACCCGAAACTATCGGATTCGGCAAAAAAGGTTTCGGTGACCAACTCTAGTATGTGCCCAACTGTGTGACTATAGGAGAGGATGGCTGTAAACCATATATATATAAACAAATAAAAACATCAAAATTTGGCTTTTAGCAATGCCACGAATCTGTTTGCATTGTTCTTTGCATTCTAAAACAAATCGAATAACAATACTGTTGCACATTATTTATATTTAAGCAATAAAGTGCTTTCAAACACTCATCCATGCGCAATATTCTTTTACAACATTGCATTTATAATTATTCAAATATATTTTTTAAAAAATTAAAGATCAATCGAATAATGATTTCACATATATACATTGTATTTTTTTTTATTGCAACTATTTATGTTATCCCTTACCCCGCATCTCCGAATGAAACATGTCCTGGGGAAATTAGCCTTCGAAAGTGTCTCAACCAATCTGGCTTTAAGGGACCTGCTTATTTTCGCTATGACCGCAGAGACCTTGCCTACAATGTTGATCTTGGCATAGAATATAATTTACGAGTAATTTATTTTCCAGTGGCTTTTGTCCATCCATTGGATGAATCAGATGTTAGTATTGCCATTCAATGCGGCAAAAACTTTTCCATCGTTGCAAGATCAGGTGGTCATTCCTTCGAAAGTTATAGCATTGGTAGCGAAAATTGTACTCTGGTTGTTGACCTCATAAACTTTAATGAAATTAGTATCGATGAAATTGCCGAAACTGTAGTGGTCGGAGCAGGAAATAGGCTAGGAACATTATATTACGAATTAAATAATTCTGGGTTTGCATTTCCATCCGGTAGTTGTGTTGATGTTGGTGTTGGTGGTATTATATTAGGAGGTGTAAGTATTGTTTTAAAATATTTTATAGTTATTGCACGGGTCTTATGTAACAACCCGTGCCTTTTTCATTTACTTATTGGCACGGGATTGTACGTCAGAAACTGCGAATAAGATGGATATTGTATGAGTATATTGAATAACCCAGTTACACACACGGGTTGTTACATAAGACCCGTGCAATAATAGTGAATATATTACGGATACTTCATAATAAAAAAAATTCACATCTTTTTTCCAATAGGGTGAAGGACTTCTTGCACGAAAGTTTGGAATGTCATCTGATAATATTCTTGATGCAAAAATTGTATTAGCAAATGGGAGCATAATTGAAAATGCCAGTGATTATCATGACTTATTTTGGGCTCTTCAAGGTGCGGGAAATGCTGGTTATGGTATTGTTACTAGCCTAAAACTCAAGATCTATCGTATACCAGAGAGAGTGACTTTTATGGATTTTAAATATGAAGCTAGTCTTAACGCGATAAAGTCAATATATTCGACATTGAATAAACTTGGGCAAGCGTTTGATCAAAATTTATCAATGGAAATTATTCACTGGCATCCTGAAAACCTAACCTCTGTTCGAGGTCTTTATTTAGGTCCTGAAAGTAATTTAAATGAAATTTTACAAGAATTTATTGAAGGATCTAAGCCTATAGACACGAAATATTATGAAGAAGATTGGTTTAGTACGATCGTTAGAGATGCATCATTCCCTATGAGGACAGTAGAAGGTGCCAAACATCCTAGAAATACTCCTGCACCTGTTAAGGTGAAATCGTTTTATGTTAATAATTCAGGCCTATCTCCTAAAGGGGTTGAGTCTTTATTCAATTTTATGTGGGAAGTTAATTGTCCAATGTTTATAGATACAACATTATATGGTGGCGGAAGTCACTACAATGATAGTCGAACCGGAACCGCATTTGTTCACAGAGGTTTTATGTATCATATATCAATTGGAATGACTTTACCAATTAGTGACGAGAGACTTATAGATGAAAAATGCTTAACCCAATTAAAACAATTTGCCGAATCTTTTCAGGAAACTTATACTAGTAATGAAAGTTATCAAAATGTAATTGATAAAGAATTAGATAAATGGCAATGTAGATATTATGGAGAAAATTTTAAAAAGTTGGTGGAAATTAAGCGTCAATATGACCCTTATAATTTATTTAATTGGGCTCAAAGTATTCCTAGAACAAGCGAAATTAATTGTACTAATTGGAATTTAGAATCATATAGAAATTAGATAGTTGCACGACATACGACCTAGTCGTGCTAAAATCAGGAATATAATCCAATTATACAATAAATTCATAGGGCGACATTCATATAATTGGCTAACCAATGAAGATCAAAACGTGATAATAAACCAATCAAATGAACCAAAAGTTCAATATGCAAATAAATTATTAGAGAAGCTATCTATTCTTTGTCC